ACATTTTTTTTTATTTCATGAGATCTATCATTTGCACTTGATTTGTATGGTAATATATCCCAATGAAAAAAAAATGAAACATTTTATTTTTTCATGTAGGCAAATCTAAATGGAACAAGGAACATGCAAACCAGGATTTATTTCTCAGTCAGATTTCATTTCAAAGTTATTTCTTTTTAGCCTGGCAGGATATTTCCTCTTATGATTGTTTGCATCTTGTAGAAAATGTATCGAACTTCATCCAGCTTCAACTCTTCCGTTTCCTGTGTTTGACAAATACCCATTTCCTGTACAGATGGGGAGACCGTCCACGTCCCACGTCTTAGTGCCTGCGTGGTGCCATAACAGAAAGTCCCAGTGTCTCTCTTTTTTTTTTCACTTGCCAGAAGGTGCAAAGCAAAGTCTGGCAACTGGCTGTTTAGATGGTGCTGCAGTAGAACACAGGCTCTGCTTAAAGTCAGTAAAATAATTTGATTAAATATCCCTTTGTTAAATGTTCAAACAATATAAGATGTTTTTTAATTGAGACCAAAAGGAGTTTGAACATGTACAATGATAAAATAAATGTTTGACAGATTAAGATTAGGTATGATACGACACAATAGAAGAAATGATATGATACAATGGAAGTAGCAGCGCAAAGGAGAAATGTCGTAAGTTATAAAAAATAGGAATAGAAACAGAATCTGGAATAAATTTGATAAAAATAGTATACTATATTAGTTTTAAAAATGTAATATAAAGATAAAAGGTGTTTCATTTGAATACGGAAAATGTATTAGAGCCAGACAATACCTTCAAAAATGTCCCAAAAAGCCTTCCTCTTCAATTCAATTTCTGCTCTATCCATTTTTTCCAATCAAATGTGATTAGAAATGAATAACTTACCCCTCACGTTTTATTAATATATGCTAGACCATTAGCTAGTGGATCATTAGAGGTGGGCTTTTACTGTCAATTGTATGTAGCTGGGGTCAAATCTATAAAAGAATTAACTGACATCTGCCCTATTTCTCTTCAGCTCCGTATCAAGCCATAGTCTCTCTATGCTCTCTTTGAAGTGATCCAATCAAACCTACAGGATTTCATCTAAATCCTTGTAATAAGTTGCTAAACCTCCCCCATTTATATTTCATTTCCCTCTGAAATACATGGCATTACTGGAGATAAAAGCATATATGGTAAAAGCACTGTAATAATTACAGTACAGATAAGGTGTTCTGTTGAGGCATTGGGGGACGAGCATACGACGGCTGCAGATAAATGTATAGTTTATAGTTACAAGTTTTGAGAGACACGGCTCCTATCTGCCTCTATTTCAGCACGTCGCCGTGACGAACCAGCACATCATTGCTACAGGATTTAAATTTACGGATGGTAAATTGAAGTGGGAAGACAATTTAAAAAACAATTTCTACTAAGTTGCCCCTCTCCATTCTGTAAGAGAAATAAATGCACTCAAGGAATGTAATAGGCCAGGTTGCCGTGGCGATGTAGCATTTGTGTGGATGTGTATATGTGTGTGTGTGTTTGGAGTTTGTGCACAGGACGACAGGCTGCCGGTCAGGGACTTATGAACCAAATTGAATCTGTATCTTCTATTTATGCTCTTCAGAGGAGATTGGAGAAAAAAATATAATAAAAGTCCTGTCTACCTGCTGAGACCTGCACGTCACTCGCTCTCTCGACTTCCTGTTGGTGTCCAGTTATGAGATGATTCATCTCACTATTTACGTCTCCCTCTCGCTCCCAGACTGACTGCTGTGTCACTGTGCTCAGTTTTATGATGCAGCAGTTACCAAGGGTTCTCATAAACAGGGTTGCTGGTTTTGTGTTTGCTCGTCCGGCGCATGCTTGTGCTCCAAGTTATCTCATGTGGAAGATGCACAGTGAGCACGCTTAGACACCACCGCCCCTCTGGGTCCTTACCCACTTAATACGCATTAACATGCTTCATCTCATTTTTTATTGCCTGCCTGCTTTTCGTAAGGTGTTATTCTCCGTTATTAAAAGGTTTGTTGTGTGTCGCTGTGTCCAGGGGGTGATGCAGGACGTGGAGATCGTGGTGATGCCACAGGGTTACATCTCACAGTGTCCGGACCTGAACAGAAGTGAGTGCTTATTCTTACTCTTACTTAACACACCCAAGGAGCATTTCGCTGTGTGGTTAATTTCATTTAAATTACCTTCGGCACTTATTTTGTGAGGCTCTGATTTGTTTTTTATTTAAATTCTTGAAATGCTCTTTGCTCACTGGAGTAAAACAGCTTTAAAAGTGCTTCGCAATTAAGAAGCAATTTTCTGTGGAAATCTTTTTTGTAGATAATTCAGCAAGAAGGTGAAATTCCCAATTTTTTGCCTTGATGCTATTTCCTTTGGATTCACAAATGAGCAAAATATACTAACGAATATTATTGTACGAATTAAATTTTATCTGTGTAAAATTATCTGTGGGCGGAGAAACCAATCACACACATATATTAAAGAAATAATCAACATGAAATCAGTAATGTTTACCTCAGTTTACCATGATTTTAAGTTGTAATCAGTGAGACTCTTGAGAAGGTAAACATTTTGACATTGAATTTTTGTTGTGATTCAGATATTTGTCAATGATTTCTACAAGTTGGTGCTCATTCCATCCAACCTTCATGTTGAGGATTTTTTGACCATCCTCACACATTACTGTACACGCCACTGTATATTGTTTATTACACTATATCTGCACAGGAGAATAGTGCCTGTCTACCACAGATACTCCCTTCTCTCTCTAAGCAGTACCCGAGGTCAGGTTATAGATAAAGGACCAACCAACAGTACATTGTAGTGTCTACGCTCAGGGACTTTCATATCTAACTCAGACGCCCCAGACAGAGACACCAGTGGTAAGACCTATGGACACAAGGTTATTGAGGAATGAATATTTAGACTTAACTATCGATGTGAACACATCATGTAACATAGAGAGTGACAGCGATTCTAGCCACTCATGGATGTGCTGTTAGAATGGGTGTCGCAAGTAGAGGAAGATATATGGGGATGCTGTGGGAGACATCTTCAGACTTGGGGGTGACAGTTGCTCATGTTACTGTGTTAGTGTTTGTATATTGTTGCACCTTCTGGTCTCCTTGATGCATCGAGTCTATGTCAGACAGGGATATCTGGAATCCTTAGATACATTATTAGACAGATTTCTGACATCTGAATCACTAAATGAGTCTGTCTCTTGTATCTCAGCTTGCCCAACCTGCAATGATTTCCATGGACTTGTGCAGAAAATCATGGAGCTGCAGGACATCCTTGCTAAAACCTCCAGCAAGGTAAAGTAATTTGATAGGACCTGTCCCACTTTGTAACAGTAATTCATATTTTAGGTTTGTGCTATAAAACTGGGCTGTAGCATAACATTCACTGCAACAGGCAGTCAGGGCCGTATTAACAATAGACGTTAGAAATTGTGGAAGTCTGTTGTGTCATGATGCAGAGATTGTGTGTGTGTGTGTGTGTGCATGCATGTGTGTGTGTGTAAAACCTGTTAATGGTGTTTATAAGACTTACTTTTCTGCTGCCACTAGATTACGTTTGAAGCTCTGATTTCTATATGTTAATATAGACGCACATGGAGACACACACTCATCCTCTCCCATCTTCTCTCCTTCTTGCTTTTGTTTTTCTTTTTTGTGGGTGGGGGTGTCATGAGCAGCTGTCCAGGGCAGAGGAGAAGATGAATGGACTGGATGGCTGCTATTGTGAGAGAACCTGCAGTGTCAAGGGGGTCGTCTACAGGGAGGACGAGGGCTGGACAGATGGCTGCAGGAACTGCACATGCACGGTGGGGCGTCAAACACACAACACTGTGTGTGTGTGCGTTTGTACACTAGGTACATGAGTGTGTATGTAAGAGTAATATAGAGCAAGGCTAGGATTTCATTTTATTTGTAAGTATATGTGTGTGCATGTTTGTTTATGTGTGCATGTCTGAATCTGGGATTGATGTGCTTGTCATACTGTGTTTGTGTGATTGTGACTGTCATTTACACACACACACACATACACACACACACACACTGCTCTTCTTGTTATCCTTGTTATCCTTGGCTTTTTTGTTTTGCTCCCTTGTTCATCAAGTGTGTGGAGGTGGGTGTGTGTGGGTGTTTGTGTCTGGGCATGGTAAAAGTGCAGAGTGTGGGGGGCCCCTTCATCAACAGCTTGTTTTTTCATTCACTTGCATTAGAGGAGGGTTGCCCCAGTTACCCAAAAAATAAAAAGGAGAGTGTATTGAAAACTTCCACAGTGCTCAGCATTAGAAACATCAACAGCAGTGCTTAGTAATGCCCGATCCTCCTAAAGTTTGAATAATTGTCACAAAGAGACTTAGAAGCAATTGGAGATCTGCGGCTTGTACCACAGACGTCACCCCCCAGATTTCCCCTGTCAGTCTCCTCATCGTTTGGAACATGAAACTCATTCGCTGCTACTGAAGTCCTCCAACCAGCCAATGAGGAGCCTTTGTGCACCACTATCCAACATGCAAAAAATAGAAAATCACATATATCTCAGTGCACCGCACCTAATTACTCTTGACAGATGATAATTATCATCAGGGATTTGTTCTGCCCACTCATCCTATGAAATCGCTCCAATCGCCAAGAACGGTGTGTTTCCATTCCTGGCTGCAATTAAGGAATTAGATGGGATATGTTCCTTACCTTATGTGCGGCAATTAGCCGTGACCTTTAAAATTCAAAGGTCATGCATTAAGATGTTATCAATTATGTGCATAAGGTTCAGAGATGTTGCTGTCACAGAGCTTTCATCCGTGGAGGCAATGTTAATTATAGGCAGAGCTGGAGAAGAGGAGATAACATTTAAGACTTTTACAAGTAGGAGTTCCTGTTGAAATCTGCTGCAGGTGATGAGTCAATTTACAACGGGGACTTCTGCTATTTAAAGAGTAAACACACCCTCGATTTCTGATAGTATCCTCCGTTACAGCAACTGAGGAGATAGGCAAATATTTATATATGCACCTTGTCACACCAGCATTTGCAAAGGAAACATTTAGACCAAAATC